GTTTGACCAAACGGCAGGAGGCAGTGGAAGACAGGAGTGCTTGGCGTGCTCTGGTCCATGGGGTCACGAAGAGTCGGACACGACTAAATGACTAAACAACAACAACAAAATGACTTCCCTTGATCGGGACACTGTAGTTCTGTTGATGCAGCCTAGAATAGCATTAGCTTCTTTTGCTGCTTCATCACACTGTTGACTCAAGCTAAGTTTGTGGTCTACTAAGACCCTTAGATCATTTTCACATGTACTACTGGTAAACCAGGTGACCCCCATCTTCTAGTTGTGCGGCTGGTCTTTCCTGCCTAAGTGTAGAACCTTACCTTTGAAATTGGACCCAGTTCTCCAATCTGTTCCAAATCCCAATAGCTGGGAAGCAAGGGAATTTTGAAAAGGAGAAATCTGGAAGCTTCCCTGACCCCAGTGCAACATTCCAGATGCTAGGAAATAGAGAATTTCCTGCTGGGACCATCACCCGCTTCATTTCTGTGGCCCCCTCTCTCGCCATTTGCGAAGCTTAAAGGCAGGGCAGCTGCACTTAACAAGACTTCATTGGCCCACAATGCTGTAATGAGCCCAACTGAGCTTTGGCACTTTGATAATAGCTTCAGGGCACCACATTCCAGATGTACGTTCCCTCCAAGCAGCAGTTTAATGATTTATTAAACCACAGTTTATCAAACCCATCCCCAAACTCAGAGCATTACATATTGTAATTGAGAGCTGAGTTAAAAAGAGCGGGCAGGTAGGTTCTTTTCTTTTGTGTGTGTTTTCTTCGGGGGAGGGGCCACCTACGATGCACCTAAATCTTAAATGTTGTGTTTTTGCTGCTCTGCAATTTCAAGAACAACTCTCAGCACCCTTAACTAAAAACAGCTCCCAGAATTCTGGGGCGAGGGGATGGAGGGAGCCATGACTGTTTAAAAGGGATGCGAGTGGCACTGTGGTCTAAACCACTGAGCCTCTTGGGCTAGCCAATCAGAAGGTTGGCGGTTCAGAGCCCCACTACAGAGTGAGCTCCAGTTGCTCTGCCCCAGCTCCTACCAACCTAGCAGTTCAAAAGCACACCAGTGCAAGTAGATCAATAGGTACCACTGTGGCGGGAAGGTAAACAGTGTTTCCGTACACTCTGGTTTCTGTTGCGGTGTTCCATTGTGCCAGAAGTGCTTTAGTCATGCTGGCCAAATGACCTGGAAAGGTCATGTGGACAAAAGCCGGCTTCCTCGGCCTAAAAGTGAGATGAGCGCCGCAACCTCATAGTCACCTTTAACTGGACCAGGGGTCCTTTACCTTTTTCCTCTTTTTTCCCCCTTTAAAAGGGTAGCATAGTGCTTGGAATGAATGGTGGATATTGATTGCTTAAACACCAGATAGGGTGGCTTATTTTATTATGTATATGTATGTTGTTGTTAAGGGACGCGGGTGGCACTGTGGGTTAAACCACAGAGCCTAGGACTTGCCGATCAGAAGGTGGGCGGTTCGAATCCCTGCGATGGGGTGAGCTCCCATTGCTCGGTCCCTGCTCCTGCCAACCCAGCAGTTCGAAAGCATGTCAAAGTGCAAGTAGATAAATAGGTACCACTCCAGCGGGAAAGTAAACGGCATTCCCGTGAGCTGCTCTGGTTTGCCAGAAGCGGCTTAGTCATGCTGGCCACATGACCCGGAAGCTGTACGCTGGCTCCCTCGGCCAATAAAGCGAGATGAGCGCCGCAACCCCAGAGTCGTCCGCGACTGGACCTAACAGTCAGGGGTCGCTTTACCTTTACCTTTATGTTGTTGTTATATATTTGAAATAATGTAATAATATATATATATATATATTAAAGCTAAACAGTAATGTAGGATGTGAATGCAAGCCTAACACAAGTCCTGGAAGGTAGCTGAATTCTCCAATTGACTTGAAACTCAAGAAATTTTGCAATATCCCATAGGTTGGGAGGCGAGGACTTAGCATTCACTTGGAAGCCTTCCCCTTCCAGGCTGGGAGGGGTGGGGGAACTTTGTCATGCTTCTGTTAATTTTGTCAAGAGGCTCCTAATGGGCTATTTCCCTGTTCAATGAATTGTTCTTGGGTTGCGTTTCCACCCTTAATTCCTTGACATTGAGCACTCGGTGTGAATCTTAAACGGAGAAACCTCCAAAACTGGGCCGGCGTGCTCGGAATGAGCTGTTTGCTTTCTTCCAATTGTTGCCATTAATAAAACATTACATTAAATCAAGGCTGGGGGAGGGGGAGGGGATCTGTAATTGGGACCATCCATCAAACTTCTAATAGGGAAGCACTCCTGTTCATCAGCCAAATGGAACCATCAAAGTAACTCCGGGGAGGAGGGACAGAGGGATGGAGGAGGCCGGCCCACCGGGCATCCTGAGCTGTGATTGGCTGTTGAGCCTTCTATCTAGGGCTCCTGCGGCCATGTGATTATGTTTTGTGGATGATGAGGTCACCAGGATGGGACAGAGGCCAGGTGTATCTTGGAAAGATGACAATCCTGCCGGGAGACTGGAAGCGGGGCTTAATGAGGGAAGGAGAGCCATGAACGAGCAGAGCACATTAATTAATTAATTGCTGAAGAGGACTGAGCATTCGAGGAGTAGATTTGCCATATGTTCCTCACTACATCTCAAGCTTAGTGGAGCTGGCTTCGACATAATGTTTTTCTCCAGAGAGACATCCCGAGGAAACAGGCTTAATTTCTAAAGTGGAAACTGCTGAGGTATGTGGTCTTGCATTTGACATGCTACCCCTCCTGAATCCCAACATAAGAACATAAGAAAATCTTCATGGGTCAGGCTAATGGTCCACCTGGCCCAGAATCCTGTTCTCACAGTGGCTGACCAGATGCCCTAAAGCAGCCTTTCTCAGCCTGTGGGTCCCCAGATGTTGTTGAACTATAACTCCCATCACCCCTAGCTAGCAAGGCCACAGCTCAGGGATGATGGGAGTTGTAGTCCAACAACATCTGGGGACCCACAGGCTGAGAACCACTGCCCTAAAGGGAGACCCTGCGGCAGGCCCCAAACCCAAGAACTGCCTTCCAGCACTTTCCAGCAACTGCAGACCTATTTTCCAGGAACAGAAGTCTTCCCAGTTTCTGATTTGATCCCGGAATGTCCTGCTTTTCCTTAGGACATCTCTATTTTCATCAGAGAAATGTTGGAGGTTATGTGACTCCTGAGCTAAGGTAACTAAACAGTCGTACCTTGGCTCCCAAACACCACATATCCGGAAGTGAGTATTCCAGTTTGCGAACGTTCTTTGGAACCCGAACGTCCGATGGGGCTTCCATGGCTTCCGATTGGCTTCAGGAGCTTCCTGCAGCCAATCAGAAGCCGCACTTTGGTTTCTAAACCTTTTGGAAGTCGGACGGACTTCCGGAACGGATTCCGTTTGACTTCCAGGGAACAACTGTACAACCTTTATAAGACATCTGAAGGCAGTCATCTATAGGGAAGTTTTTCAAATGTCTAATGTTTTATTATGTGTGTTTTTTATGTTGGAAGCTGCCTAGAATGCCTGGGGCAACCCAGTCAGATGGGCAGGGTATAAATGATGCTGCTGCTGATGATGATGATGATGTTATTGTTGAGCAGTATGTCCCTATTTTCATTGGAGAAATGTTGGAGGGTACGCAACTGGTATTCAGAAGCATTGCTGCCTCGAACTGTGACAGAATTTGTCCAATGAATTTGTCCAATCCTTTTTGAAAGCCCCCCACGTTGGTGGTCATTGCAGCACCCTGTGGGAGGGAGTTCCATAGTGCATCAACTCTGCAGTGCATCAAGAACTTCCTTTTATCTGTCCTGAACCTTCCAACATCCAGCTTCAGTTCCTGATGTTTGTGGGGGCTTGGGGTCACTTAGGAACAGACATGGGGTAGGCATTCTCTGCATTTGAGAAGCTGGACTTCCTGGTGCTTGGAAGCATTGCAGAGAGAAAGGAATCACAGCATGGGCAGGGGATGCCCACACATGTTTGTATTCTATTTGGAGGTGTCTGGGATCATGAGTTGTCAAAAACCCATTTCTATTTCCGCAGTGGGGTCCCACCACAAGATGAATGGGTGGGGGGAATAAACACATGCATCCCACTAGTTCTCTCCATTCCACCAGGTTTCTGTTGCGGCAACTATATCAATGTTATCCTCTGGACTCAGCTTTTTGTTGTTGTTGTTTAGTCTTTTAGTCGTGTCCGACTCTTCGTGACCCATGGACCAGAGCACGCCAGGCACTTCTGTCTTCCACTGCCTCCCGCAGTTTGGTCAAATTCATGCTCGTAGCCTCAAGAACACTATCCAACCATCTCGTCCTCTGTCGTCCCCTTCTCCTTGTGCCCCCATCTTTCCCAACCCCATCTTTCCCAACATCAGGGTCTTTTCCAGGGAGTCTTCTCTTCTCATGAGGTGGCCAAAGTATTGGAGCCTCAGCTTCAGGATCTGTCCTTCCAGTGAGCACTCAGGGCTGATTACGTTAAGAATGGATATGTTTGATCTTCTTGCAGTCCATGGGACTCTCAAGAGTCTCCTCCAGCACCATAATTCAAAAGCATCAATTCTTCGGCGATCAGCCTTCTTTATGGTCCAGCTTTCACTTCCATACATTACTACTGGGAAAACCATAGCTTTTACTATACGGATCTTTGTTGGACTCAGCTATACAGTTGCAAAAAAAAAATGTTTTAAGTGTGTTGCAAAGTGCATTATACACTAGATGGCATGGTGAGCTATGGCAAATTCAACATGTTTTTCAAAACGTTTTTTAAAAAGCATTTCCACAACGTTTTTTATATGTGTCTAGATTCCACCTAAGACCAGGAGCAGTTGGTTGTAGCCATAGCTCAGTGGTTTGAGCATCTGGTTTGCATGCAGAAGGTCCCAGGTTCAGTCCCTGGTATCTCCAGGCAGGGTGGGGAAGACTTCCTACCTAGAAACCTGGGGAGCTGCTGCCAGTCAGTGTAGACAATACTAAGCAAGGTGAGCCAGTGGCTTGACTGAGTGTAATGAAGGGGTGTAGTTCAGTGGTGGGGCATCTGCTTTGAATGCAGAAGGTTGCAGGTTCACTCCCCAGCATCTCCAAGCAGGGCTGGGAAACATTCTCTTGTCTGAAGCTCTAGAGAGTCTCTGCTAATCAGTGTAAATACCAAGCTAAATTGACTCCAGGGAGAGACTGTAGTTCAGTGGCAGAGCTTCCTATACACCATACCTGTAAATTGTCAGGAGATTGTCCTACACTCGAGTAGGACCCTGGCAGAGACACATGCCCGACTGGCATGTTCTCTCCCTCCTGGTCGATCGTTTCTTCAGCCCGAACATCACAGCAACCAATGCCAACAGACATCTGCACACTTAGGGATCCGCAGAGCCTTCGCAGCTTGCGTAACAGAACCCCAGCAACTCAGCATTTTGGCTAATCTACTTTATTTACATATAAATACACACAGAGCACTGCAACATGGCTCCCTCTCTCTCTCTAGCATCAGACAGCAAAAAGAATGAACAAAGGACAATAGTCCCACTTCACGGAACACAGTAACACAAACATCCTGTCTCCGTCACTTCCCACTCTGTGGAGTCAAAGCATATACCATCATGTGAAAGACAACAATCCCATGACTGTAATCATGGAGCAGGAATTCTAACATAAAGCACCTTCCCCAAAGAATCCTGGGAACCCTGATTGGTCCCCCAGCAGAACTACAACTCCCAGCACCCTTAACAAACTACATTTCCGGGGATTATTTGCAGGGATGGGAGAAGTCCTTTAACGATACAGAGCCCAGCACACACTGAAAATAGATGGGTCCATCCCTCCATCCCTAGCTTGGGCGGCAATCAGCAGCCTCCCATTTCCCATGGAAAGAAGCACTGAACAACAAGCAAACCAATGAATAATCTCCCATCGTGCCAAAGGATAATATTTCATTAAGAATAAAGAGGTTTGTATTATTTTGGTATCGTGTCTCTGGCATTAAGGAAAGCAAAGCAAAGGTAATTGGGTGCAGCCATCGCCAGCTGAACATAAATCAACGTCAGAGCAGAAAGAGGCGAAGAGGGTGTGATTGCTCTTCCGAATCTGGGCCTGCCGTCTCCGCGAAACAGAGGCAGGAGTAAATGACAGGGAAGGAACGTTCAAGCTTCTTAAAATATGAATCCATCGCTGTGTGATTGCAAGGGAGGGTATTGCCTTAATGATATAAGTAGCTGGTAATAAAAGACTCCCCTCTTCAACATGTCAGCGCATTCACTTAGTTACGTTGCAGGAATCAAAAATGGAAAAAGGCCTATTAATAGCGGATGAGTCGGAAGAACGCTTTGACGGTGGAGAGGATGGAGGAAAACAGACGCTTCCCATCTCCTCAAAGCTTAGCCCGAGGTGACCATCTGACAGAGGGGACATCTCAGCATTTGGTTCCATAAATAACATTGGAAACAATCCTACATAGTAACACAGACTTGTCCTGAGTCAGATCAGTTGGTCTGTCTAGTTCAGCATTGTCTACACTGACTGGCAGCAGCTCTCTAAGGTTTTAGACACAGAGTCTTTCCCAGCCATGCCCAGAGATGCCAGGGATTGAGCCTGCAAAGCAGATGCCCTACTGGTGATCTAAGGCTATCACCCTGTGTCCTGTGTCCAGGGCAGCTGTTTACCAGCTCCATCTGGTATGCAGGCTGAGACCCTATCTGCCCACGGACTGTCTCGCCAGAGTGGTGCATGCTCTGATTATCTCTCGCTTGGACTACTGCAATGCGCTCTACGTGGGGCTACCTTTGGTGACCCGGAAACTACAACTAATCCAGAATGTGGCAGCTAGACTGGTGACTGGGGGCGGCCACCGAGACCATATAACACCAGTCCTGAAAGACCTACATTGGCTCCCAGTACGTTTCCAAGCACAATTCAAAGTGTTGGTGCTGACCTTTAAAGCCCTAAATGGCCTTGGTCCAGTATACCTGAAGGAGCGTCTCCACCCCCATCATTCTGCCCGGACACTGAGGTCCAGTGCCGAGTGCCTTCTGGCAGTTCCATCACTGTGAGAAGTCAAATTACAGAGAACCAGGCAGAGGGCCTTCTCGGTAGTGGCACCCACCCTGTGGAACACCCTCCCACCAAATGTCAAAGAGAACAACAACTACCAGACGTTTAGAAGACATCTGAAGACAGCCCTGTTTAGGGAAGCTTTTAATGTTTGATGCATTACTGCATTTTAATATTTTGTTGGAACCCGCCCAGAGTGGCTGGGGAAGCCCAGCCAGATGGGTGGGATATAAATAAATAAATAATAATAATAATAATAATTATCATCATCATCATCATCATCATCACCATCATCATCATCACCACCCTCACCATCACCAACTGTTCGTAGTCTTAGAGGGCAGTACTGATGTAGTTGCCACCATGTAAACCTGGTGGAATGGAGACAACTGGTGGAGCACAGCTTGTCAACTTGCTTGCCTTCTTCCAGGTGTGCCCCATGAGCCGATGTCCTTCTCAAAATGTGGTACCCATTGTATGCATTCCGGACTTCTATCAGGATGCACCTGTCCAGCCCCACTTTTTCACCCAGAATGCTTACCTATGTCAATTTGACTCTACATTCATAAAAAAAAGTTATCTTACACTGAATTGTCCCATTGACCCCTCCTGCTCAGTCTCATAGAATATAAAATTGTAGAGTTGGAAGGGATCCCTGAGGATCATCTAGTCCAACTCCCTGCAAAGCATCCATGAAAGACGGCCATCCAACCTTTGCTTATAAACCTCCAAGGAAGGAGACTTCACTACCTCTCATGGGAGTCTGTTCCACTGTCAGAAAATTCTTCTGATATTTAGTCGAAATCTCCTTTCTTATAACTTGAAACCATTGGTACAGGTCCTAGCCTTGGGAGCAGGAGTGACTGGAAGAAATTCCTATGAGTTTATCTCAGTGAAGACCTTACTTGGAAAATAAATACAACCCAGGTGGTTAAGAAAGCCCAACAGAGACTCCATCTCCTCAGAGTATTGCGGAAGACCGATGTCAATCAACATTTGATGATCTCCTTCTACCGGTCAACAATAGAAAGTGTCCTTTCATACTGCATCACGGTGTGGTATGCTGGTTTGACATCATCTGATAGGAGGTGCCTACAGAGGGTGGTGAATACAGCACAAGATATTATGGGCTGTCCTGTGAACCCACTGGATGAAATAGTGCAAGAACATTGCCTCAGGAGAGTGAGGAAAATTTTCAGGGATGATTCACACTCTGGCCAGCACTTTCTCTTTTTTTAAATAATTTTTATTAATTTACAACAAAAACAAAAACACACAATAATTTCACATCCAATTTTTCACAAAGTATTTCTTTTCTGGACTTCCTTCAGCTTTTCCGTAAATCATTCATAGTCATTATTTAAGTTACGCATTCCTTAGGTTTGTATTGTCATTATTTGAGCCTTTCTTTTTCTATTCCCTTTTAACAAGTGGCCAGCACTTTCTTGATCTCCTGCCCTCAGTCAGAAGATATAGAAGCATGATTAGTCGCACCAACAGGGTAAAGAACTGCTTCTATCCGTGGGCTGTTAGGCTGCTGAATGAAAAGATAACAACAGGGCAACTGACTTTTGGGTTTGGTGGGTGTGCGTCAGTAAACAAGGGGAATTAAGATTAAGAGAGCTGAGTGGTGGGTGCTCGTGTAATCTCACTGTATACAAGTTATAATAAAGTATTTCAATGTCAATTCAATTTCAGACAAGGTATTCTCCTAGCCCTAGAGGTGCCACAATGAATTGAACTTGGGCCCTTCAGCATGCAAAGCAGATGCTCTAACCACTGAGCTACAGCCCTTAAAACGCAAGAGCATTTATTTTAAACAATCAATTTACAAACACACATGAGCAGATGAAGCTGAGTCAAACTATTGGTCTATCTAGCTCAATATTGCGTGTACTGATTGGCAGTGGCTCTCCAATATTTCGGGTAGGAGTCTCTCCCAGGCGCACCTGGAGATGCTGGGGATTGAACCTGGAATCTTCTGGGTCTCTACACTTCTATGTAGCTGGCAGTTAATTCCTGCTGACTCCTCACCTCAGTTCTGACTCCCTAACCCTAACAAATGGCCCCTTTCCGCCACCGAGCACTCCCGTTATCTAAGCTCCTAAGATTAATTACCTGCACTTAATCTCATTGGAGAGCACTTAGAAATGGCCACACAGTAGAAAGGTTTCCGCTGTGTGGATAATTAATGGGAGCCATTTGCTTCCCCCCAAAAGGTGATAATTTTGTCACTCACATGCTCTAGCAGGCAGTCAGCTCGCTCCAAAAATAGGGCAGGTGACAGGATGCGATTTCCAACACAGTCGGGGCTATTGACAGCACCATATAAAAGGTGAGCAGGTCTTTTCAGATGACCCAGAGCTACTCAGCATAGTTACCTAACAAATGCATTTATTTGCTCCATGCATAGTCTTCTGTGCGTATTTAAAATGAAATAAAAAATGCAAAAAAAAAAAAATATTTCTCCTTCCTGATGCTCTCAAGCACCACTCTCTTGGCCTCCTGAAATATTTCCCAGCCCAGGCCAGGACAGTTGATCTCTGTGCTACTGGTGGTGGCAAAAGAGCAGGGTTCCTGTGTGTTTTGTGTGGCCTAGAAACATTGACATGATGGCAGTGGCAAGCCTGTCGCCCCTCATTGGGAATGTCTCATTCAATGGTGACCTGATGCCATCTCCACTCCTCTGGGGTTGAGCTGCTGAGAGGAGGCAGCAGCTGAGACATCTCGTATGTAAGGATAGCTCAGCTGGTTAGAGTGTGGTGCTGATAATTCCAAAGCTGCAGGTTTGATCCCCATATGGGACTGCTGCATATTCCTACATTGCAGGGGGTTAGCCTAGACCAGGGCCCCCCAAATTAAGGCCCACAGGTCAGATAAGGCCCATGGACTTGTTTATCCTGCCTGCGGCACACCCTGTTGCCCGCTGCCGCCGCCCGCTCTTACAGGCGCTGTGCTGCTGCCCACTTCTGGGTCGGAGGAGCACCGGAAATAGCTTGTGTGCATACACAAGCATTATTTGTGCATGCGCAAGTGTTATTTCCAGTGCACATCCGGGTCGGAGGAGGCCCATGCACAAGCTATTTCCAGTGCTCCTCCAACCCGGAAATGCATCGGAAATAGCTTGTGCATACACATATGGGCACACGCTCCCCTGCCCTCCGGCCCTCCGCATGATTGGCACTGGAGACACCAGCCCAAGGCGCAGTAAGTTAGCTCGCCCCTGGCCTAGATGATCCCCAGAGTCCCTTCCAGCTCTATACTTATATGATTCTGTAAGAACATAAGAAGAGCCTGCAGGATCAGGCCAATGGCCCATCTCATCCAGCGTCCTGTCCTCACAGTGGCCAGCCAGATGCCTTTGGGAAACCCACAAGCAGGATTTGAGCATAAGAGCATTCTCCCCTCCTGTGGCTTCCAGCAACTGGTATTCAGAAGCATTGCACTGTATAGTCTTCTCCTCCATGAATTTGACTCATCCTTTCAAAGCCATCTAGGTTGGTAGCCATCACTGCCTCCTGTGGGAGGGAGTTCCATAGTTTAACTCTGCTCTGTGTGAAGAAGGACTTTCTTTTATCTGTCCTGAATCTTCCCACATTTGCATTATGGGATGTCCATGAGTTCTAATGTTATGAGAGAGGGAGGAAAACATTTCTCTATCCACTTTATCTCTTGAAATTTTAATCTGGCCCCTCTTATTAAATTATTTGTGACACCTGACCCATGATAGCTTTGGAGTTGAGTGGGGGAATCCATAAAGTGCAAGATTCATCTGTCACCTCTTTTCATTGCTGACATGTATGGACAATATTAACCAACAGACACCCCAAATTCCACAGGAAGTCTAGCGCCTAACCCTGATTGCTGTTGTCTGTCTGCTGTCAGATGTCAACCATCACTGCCTGTCGGTTGTCAAACATTGTCAAAAGCTGACGGATGCACGCCAGATTCAGATTGTTGCTGAAAAGTCTTCATATGTCAGATCCTGATGCTGAGGGCTACAGATTGGCTAAAATGGGAGATACCAAGAGAATACTGGAAACAGCCACAACTCAGTTGCTGGACGTAAAAAGTCAAAGTGATCAATTATTTCCAACTGTAAGTCTTATTGGGAAGGGTTGAGAGAGCTGGGTATGTTTAGCCTGGAGAAGAAAAGACTGAGAGGTGATATGAGAACTATCTTCAAAGATTTGAAGAGCTGCCACATGGAGGATGGAACAAGTTTGTTTTCTGCTGCTCCAGATGGGAGATCTGAACCAAGGGATTCAAATTACAAGAAATGAGATTTCAGCTCAAGAGTAGGAATAAAACTATCTTAGGGTCACAGCCGTTCAACGGACTTCCTTGGAAGATGGTGGACTCTCAGTCACTGGAGATTTCTCGACAGAAGTTGGACAGCCATCTGCCAGGGATTCTTCAGTTGCACTTCCTGCATTGCATGCGATTGAACTCGATCATTGAAACAAACCTGGGTCTCCAGCTGTTTTTGGACTACAGTTCCCATCATCCCTGACCACTGGTTCTGCTAGCTTGGAACTGTAGAGTTGAAAGGGACCCTGAGGATCGCCTAGTCCAAACCCCTGCAATTCAGGAATATGGATTTGCCTCATACGGGCATTGGACCTGCAACCCTGGCATTAACAGCACCACACTCTAACCAAACTGAGCTATCCAGTTCTCAGAAGGCTGACTCTCTTACTATTCTGCAGCGATACTTCTTGTGCAGCAAACAAAGCTTATTCCCAGGCTGTGGGCCACCCAGCCCTGAGACGCTCCTGGTGTTTCAAGCTGAGCTATAGGGATGACGACCCAATGAATAAAACATGTTCCTGAGAACCTCAATTTTCCAGTGACTGAGCCCAAGCCCTGGATAGCCATCTGCCATTCCTCTCTGGTGGCTTCAGCTAACTCCCCCAGAATGGAGACACTAAGCCACTCAAAAATGCTGGGGGGGGGGGATGAGGGAGTGGGGAGGAATGAAGGAAAACAGGCCCTCCTAAAAGACATCCCCACAAACCTCCAAGCAAGTATGAACTTTCTCCTGTGCATTTATCTTTCTCCCAATGGTGGAACTAGCCTTCAAAGTCCTTTTCTCAGAAGCTGTCCCAGCGGCTTAGCAATGCAGAGCACAAAGGGAGAGAAATTGCTTTTGAAGTCCAGGGAGCTCTTTGTGGGTCTGTTTGCAAAGCTTTTGAAGTGAGCAGTATTTTTAGTGGCAGAGGAAGTGATGGAGCCAGGAGAAAGGGACCTGGAGATGGAGGTCTGCGATCAAATGTGAGATGGAGAATTCTGGAAGATGCAGCCCGGAGATGATCTGATTGTTGGTAGTGCTTTTGCCAAAGTTTGTAGGTAGGCAATGCTTGGCTGAGTTCCAAAAACGTCTCATTTCCCCCACCAAAATTATTTTTCAGCGTGGATTGTAAACTGGGCTTTACGCCTGCGTTGGAGGCAGAAACTGCTTTGGTTGCCCTGCATTATTGTTCTTATGTTTTATTATTAATTTTATTTCTATCCCCCCCTTTCCTCCCAGGAGATCAAGGCGACTTACAGGGTTCTCCCTCTCTTCATTCAATCCTCACATCAACCCTGGGAGCGAAGAGGGTCAGTTTGGGGGAGGAGTGAGAAATGTCCCTGTTTTGGAGATGCAGTGAGACTGAGAGTACTTGTAAAAGGGTAAAAGAGTATTGGGAAATAATTTATAATGAATTGGGGGGGAAATGTTTAAAAGTACTTTTCCAAAAACAAAACAAAAAACACAAAAAAACCAGAGTCCTTTTCGTTGGGGATAATTCAGAAGGAAATTCCCAGGTGTCAAAAAAGGTTGTTTATGTATGCCACCACTGTGGCCCATGTTTTGTTAGCTCAAAAAGGGAAAACAAGCGAGGTCCCAACCAAAGAAGAATGGCAACTTAAACTAATGGAATATGCACAGTTTGCAGACTTAACAAATAGAATAAGAGAACAAGAAGAACATAGAAGATTGGAAGAATGTTTATTGAATATATTGGGGGGGGGACACTGTGTACATATACAGTAGTACCTCTTAATTAAGTACTTAATTCATTCCGGAGGTCCGTTCTTAACCTGAAACTGTTCTTAACCTGAAGCACCACTTTAGCTAATGGGGCCTCCTGCTGCCGCCGCACCGCCAGAGCACGATTTCTGTTCTCATCATGAAGCAAAGTTCTTAACCCGAGGTACTATTTCTGGGTTAGTGGAGTCTGTAACCTGAAGCGTATGTAACCCGAGGTACCACTGTACTTGAAAACACTGGCAGCATTAAGATGAATTCAACAGTGTAAATAAGTTTTGATGGATGCAGCAATGGAATACTGAATGGCTTAGTTTATATAAAATATGCAGGGATTCATGTTATGGAAAACAAACCATGGAAAGAAAAGAAGGGAAATCATTGATATTTTAAGGTTGTTTAAATGAATATTCTAAAATGTAAAACAGAAACTTTAATAAAAATTATATATAAAAAAGAGAAATGTCCCTATTTTCATCTGAGGAACATTGGAGGGCATGCTTTCTATGTATGGCGTAAATGTGGCACAGATTTCTCCAGAGGTATTGGTGCCCTTAGTTACCCACTCTCATTTCTGAAGACTACTGATGCGTTCAGATTTCCCCATTGTTCTTTTCTTCCCATCGCCAAATGTTCTAGTGGAGCAACATATGCTCAGGTTGACGCAGCTATCAGTTCCTTCCTATACCCCTCCCCTACTTTCTGTTAACAATAGATGCTTGTGTACATTGATAGATCCTGCAAAAAGTGGTGGAGGGGGAGGGCGTGATAAGGAAAGCTATCTGCAGGGAATCATATGCATGAGATTGTACAAATACTCAAATGAGCTGAAGGAACAGGATGCCTGCTCTGGCAAACAGTGCGTGCCCTAGTTACAAAATCGGTTTTAGGAGTTCTCTCGTTGACTCTGAATTCAAGAGCAGTGGATCTCAGGGCAGAGCAAACCCAGAGGGAAATAAAGGAACAGGGTGATGGAAATTCATTCCATCCCTAACAGCACAGCTTAATTAACATGAGGAGGGGTTGTTTTTTAAAAGATGCCTTGCTGGATCAAGCCAAAGGCCCATCTACTCCTGCAATGCTCTCTACATGAAGCTGCCTTTGAAAAGTGTTCAGAAATGCCAACTGGCTCAAAGAATTGCAGCCAGACTGTTGACCAGGAATGCAGACGCTCCAAGTGTCCCTATTTTCCAGGGAGAGTCCCGGTTTCTGATTTGATCCTGAAATGTCCTACTCTGCCTTAAAGGTAAAGGTAAAGGGACCCCTGACCATTAGGTCCAGTCGTGGCCGACTCTAGGGTTGTGGCGCTCATCTCGCTTTATTGGCTGAGGGAGCCAGCGTACAGCTTCCGGGTCATGTGGCCAGCATGACTAAGCCGTTTCTGGCGAACCAGAGCAGTGCACAGAAACGCCATTTACCTTCCCGCCAGAGTGGTACCTATTTATCTACTTGCACTTTGACATGCTTTCGAACTGCTAGGTTGGCAGGAGCAGGGACCGAGCAACGGGAGTTCACCCCGTCACAGGGATTCGAACCGCCGACCTTCTGATTGGCAAGTCTTAGGCTCTGTGGTTTAACCTACAGCGCCACCCACATCCCTCTGCCTTAGGACGTCCTTATTTTCATTGGAGAAAAGTTGGAGGGTATGGAGTTATGTGACCCCTTAGCCAAGGAGGTATAAATAATAAAATTATTCTTATTCTTATTCTTATTGAATGAAAATAGGGACGCCCGCCAACATTTCTCCAGTGAAAATAGGAACGTCCTAAGGAAAAGCGGGACATTCCGATATCAAATCAGAAACTTGGACGGCTTTGTAAATCTGGGACTCTCTCTGGAAAATAGGGACACGTGTCATGGTGCTTCAAATGTGTGGAGTAGCTTAGGGCTTATCCACCCCTTACCTTTTGCCTCAAGCTTTCCAGGCACAGGGTCTGTGTCTGAGCACTGTTTCTTTTCCACCCCAGATCATTCCCCACGAAAGCCCACTCTTTATTTAAATATATATATATATATATATTATTTTTCCAAAAACACTAAAAGAAAAAAGAAGAAAAAAAGGGGGGAAGAAAAATAAAAACAATACAATACAACACATCGAATTAACAAAACAAGATTAAGACAATGAAATAAATCAACCAATTTCATTATCCCATCTTTCATTCACTTATTTCCACGACCTCCTCGCACCTCCCTTTTTGTATTCCACTTCTGTTAATTATTTCAGCAATTCCTTTCCATCCTCCTCTGTTTTCAATCCTATAATTATCTTAGCACATTCTAACCTTATTTTTTTCCCTTTAATACTCTATTAACCTATCTGTACTTAATTCCTTATAATATTTCTACTAAAGCCATATAACTTCATTTCAACATTTTTCTAACATTCATTAATTTTGCAATATTTCTGTAGATAATCTTTAAACTTTTTCCAGTCTTCTTCCACCAACTCCTCTCCCTGGTCTCGGATTCTGCCAGTCATTTCCGCCAGTTCCATGTAGTCCATCAACTTCATCTGCCATTCTTCCCGAGTGGGCAAATCTTGTGTCTTCCAGTATTCTTGCTGCTATTGTTGCGTACATAAAAATGGTTCTATCCTTCTTTGGCACCGTTTGGCCGACCATGCCCAGGAGAAAGGCCTCTGGTTTCTTCAGGAAGGTATATTTAAATACCTTTTTCATTTCATTATAAATCATCTCCCAGAATGTCTTAATCCTTGGGCACGTCCACCAAAGGTGAAAGAATGTGCCTTCAGTCTCATTACATTTCCAACATTTATTGTCAGGCATATGATAAATTTTTGCAAGTTTGACTGGTGTCATGTACCACCTATAAATCATTTTCATTAAGTTTTCTCTTAAGGCATTACATGCCGTAAATTTCATACCTGTGGTCCATAACTGTTCCCAGTCAGCCCACTCTTTAAAGCTGAAGCACAACAAACAGCAATTTGGGTTTTCCATGGACTGCTGTTTGCTCCGATTCAGTGGTGAAGAATGAGGTTTTTTGCGGGGAAAGCTCCAGGGCAAAGAAAAGAGCCATTCTGACATGGAGCTTTTAAGCACGGATGGTGCCTGGAAAGCACAAAGGAAAGCTAAGTTTGGATAAACCCTAAGTTCCTTTATCTGCAGTGAAACATGCAGTTATGTTGGTCAGCACTGGAACCTTTCCAGGTCATTTAAAACATGGGAAGTGTTGTGCCCCTGATCTCACTGGCTGACATAATGCCCTGGCTGTGACACTTCCTTTTTTAACCAGCCAATTAAAAAGTCCAAAGCTGATTTTATTTATTTTATTTTTTGTCATTTGGCTAATATTGAAGGGTTCACCTGCGGAGAAACAGTTAGAAATAGAAAAATGACCTGTGGAAGCACATTTGTTTTTATGATCAACACATTCCCTGTCCAAGAAAATTTTACCTCCTGCCATCTGTCGGGATCTATTTCAGTTGCTTACTAAAGCTTATTAGTGTGGTGGCCTGGGAATCCGATTCAGAGGCCAAACCGGAGGAACTCCAGCCTGCACAGGAGTCCCCGCCTCCAGGGCTGACTGAGCTGGAGCAGGGCCTTGACTCTGAGGCACCTGCACCTGTGCTGGATCCTCAGGAGCAGGCACCAGGTGAATCTACTCTGGCTCCGGAGG